ACAAGCGATAGAAACAAAAATGAATTGTAAATCACAGCTAGTGTTGCCGTTTGAGGTATAATATTACAAGAATAATGGAGTTATACCGAGTCTTATGTATTAAATTTCTTTTAATAAGCCCTCAAAACCAGATGAATTAAGTATAGAGTGATGTTTTGTTAAAGTTTGGTGCGATTGTTATCTACCAAACGTGCGATGGATATCATAAATATAACATTATCTCCTGTATGTTAATTGTAACGACTGATAAGATTTGATTGATTTGTTAGATATAAATATTAGGAGTAATAAAGTAATGCAACTTATATTCAATGTTGTAAAATGTAGTCAATAAAGAAAAACAATCTCAGACTCATTGTCTTAAAACTAATAGAAAAGTTTTGTCTGCCATAACATGAATGGCCGCATAACTGATGGATAATATGGTGTTTTAAACACATTAAAGCCATTGCTATTATGAGTTGACTTTTATTTCGAGCTCAGAAAGAGACGACAAAACATAAATGCAATAATAAAAGAAATTTAATACTAAATAACAATATATTTTTTCTCAATTTTGCATTTTATGCTCTCTGGACGTGATGTTAGTCTTTATCTCTTTTGACATTAACTTAAACTTTGCATTTGATTCCCGAATAAACATAAATGCAATTCAATTCAATGATGCGAATCATTAGAGTATAACACAATCTCCAACAATATTGAGAGAGAGAGAGAGAGAGAGAGAGTTTAGTGAAAACAGCAATCATTTGAAATGCGTTTTATTTCATTCAGAGTTACTATTTTATTGTTTAAGATTTTTTGTTTAGTTTTTTAGTTATATAAATGCTTTATATATGGTTGCATTGAAGAGATTGTTTGTAGAGCACCTGTACTCACATAACACTAAAGTTAATATAAGAAAAACAAATGAAATTTATATTAGAAAAGACACGACAATTGAATACATCAAACAAATTATAGAGAATAATAAACAGAATATTCTGTATTTTGATTAACTATTGAAAAGATCGGTCTCTATGTCTAATTTATTCCTATTATTACTCTCTCAAAAAGTAGTTTTTATTTAAAGTTTTCAAGAAACAGAAAAGTGTTTTGAATTTAATTTTGTCAAAAATAATAACAAGAAAAATGTTTCATTTATTTTTTTGTGCAATTCGTACGGAATTGTATTCTCTGGGAGTTAAAGAAACGGCTGAAATATATGTGTTATGTCTGGGAAAGCAAAATAAATTAGATTTATTCTCTTTATATCTCTATGTATTGGAGTTTATATCATATTATTATAAAATGTTTGCCAATACTATCAAAAAACTTCTTTACATACGAGCAGACAATAACGTGACATAAAATACACCCGAAATGGGATTGAAATGGCGATAGGAATATAAGACAATTAACATAATTTTAGAGTCCATTCATGTCATTGACATTTTTCTAATCGCTTCTTCTGTTATTCCTCATGAACTTAAGGCACAACTATTGATACAACAGAAGAATTTCAGTCGTGCGGAACAAATGCTATATTCAGTGATCAATACAAACAGCAGCCATAGGGACGCATACCATCAGTTGGCTATTCTTCACAGTCAACTCAATAAGACAACTGAAGTAAGTATTATGTGAAACCTTAAAATATTCCCTAAAAACACAACTATTGTATTCAAAAGGCGTCGAAATAGACTTATATTTCATCGTTCGGACAAATATTTGATTTTAAACTAAATTCTGAAACTGAAGACAGCTTTCAATAACACTATTTTTGGGAAGAAATGACTTTTTATATACTATATCCTATTATTTGTGGTTTTATTTTATTTATAATAATATCCACACAATAAAGCTATTTATAAAATTACATTAAAACTACAGAAACTGCACGACATATGCATCAACTTTTAGTATAATTGCCAAACATTTAAATATTATAATTTACTATTTTATTCGTCTAATCTCTCAAAATATTTATGTAATATTTAATATTTATGTTGACATTTATATTGTGCCATAACTTTCTTGTTTTTGTAAATAATAAATCAAAATGAAAATACATTTATGTGTTATTTTAATCGATTAACAATATTAAGAGAAGGTTTTAATATAAATGTTTTGCACATAAATAAACGGAATTAAATATTTGCCATAAAAAATAATGTCTAAACATCTGAACCAGCAATTTATTAAAAAGCTTTACTATTAGGTCTTATGCATAGATAAAAGCCATCATTTTTTAGCACTAAATCCTATGTTTAAATTATAGCTTATATTTTATATGTGAGTCCAAAAGCGCATAATACTAGAGCACCGGCTCTACTGTTATAGCCATAGTTGAGCCAAAAACTTCTTGTGGCTCTGAAATGGTATACATTTTCGTCATCGCAAACACAGTTCCCCTCCGGGGACTCATTTCAACGAATAAAATGCATTTCTCGCTATACTATAGCTCTCACCGCACATCAAACACGGCGTGAAAATTGCGGTTTCGATGCCTTGTCTTTACAAAGACATTGCATTTCTCTCTTCTTTCACACTATTTTTTTGTGTCTTATATTTTATTACATTTAATCCCAACAATAGATATTAAATTGAAATTTTATGTTAAAATCTAATCCCCAACGAAACTGTTGTTTTATATAATTTATCAATATATAAATTCTGTAGAATTACACACAAATACATAACATGTATATTACTGTATAATAATAAATGTGAATATTTATTGTTTACGATGTGTTTGTTGTCAATAAATATTACAATAAATCTATAAATTGTGCACATATTTAGGCTCTGGACTCGATAGTGAAGGCGTTGACATTATGTTCACCGGACGACATAAGCTGTGCGCACCTGTATGTAGAGCACGGGGACATATTGCGTGATCTGCGTGATTGGCAAAGTGCCGCTGAGGTATTATACACAGCCATTTCATTTATCAAACGCACCGCAAAAGTGTCAGACAATTAAATACAGTGTATTAAACATAATATTACACAACAACAAAAAACCATATTTAAAGACCTATACTATTGAATGAGTTTATATTAATTATATGTTATATACAAATGACTATTTCCAGAGCTACAGAATCGCCATATCGTTGGACAGCGGTATCTCTCGTTCGCACTTGAATTTAGCGGTGATTTGCCATTTGGAGGGCGAATATAAGATAGCACTCCATCACTATCTCGTGGCCCATAGTCTCGATCCCAATAACGCGATAATTGCGGAGAATATCTCGAAACTGAAGCGACAATTATATCGACACAAGTATTATAGCGATCGCTGTCAACGAGAGTCGCAATCCTGTCATGTCGTGCGATAAGAGACGAGTTCGCGAAGTGTTTCCCCGAGAAGAGTGAGAAATCCATTGACAAATACAATCTGCAAACACATACACAACCCGTTGTAGTGGACGACTGGGAGGACAGTCTATATATATTAGATGACAAACACAACAATGTCTAGAAATACTGAGAAAGAGAAAGTGTTAGATAACTAACCAAAAAAATAATACAAATAAAATATATTACATATAATTATATTTCATGGAAAACCTAATTATATATAAAAATGATGACAAAGGATAACATATATTATATGATATAATACTGTATATGATGTATGAAAAAAACTTGTGTTCAACAGTAACTAATTATTTTAAATGTGACAAAATTAATGATTACGTAATAAATTATCGTTATATAATATATTGTATATAATATTTGATTAATTCATATG